ATCTCTCAGCAGATAGCTCATTGTTCATGCAATAAATATCTGCAGTACTTTATCAGACCCATATCCAAGTTACTGTGTTGATTCAACTGTGGTGTCCACATTGAAACATTGCTCACATTTAAACCCAGGCTTTCAAACAATGAAAGCCAAGGTTTGAGAATAATAAACATTACTTTCACATATTCAGTCACACCACAATAAAGGTACATCTTATCTTTTCACCAGGGGATCCACCTATACTTCGTTTGAATCTTGACTGACATTGTAGAAATCTGATCTGTGATGTGTATTGTAGACTTATCCAGCCAACAGCTACAATCTTTTCCTTCTATGTACCTTTCTGGGTTGATTTCCTAATGGACGTGCCAGACACTCAATGATAACTCAAATGGCAATTTTTTGCAGTACAGTTCATAAATTACCTTAGAACAAGAAAAGATATACTGTACAGCTTGACGAAGCAAAGGTCCATCCATCCATCCATCTTCTACCGCTTACTCCTTTTCAGGGTCATGGGGAACCTGGAGCCTATCCCAGTGAGCATCGGGCACAAGGTGGGGTACACCCTGGACAGGGTGCCAATAAGCAAGGGTTCAGAAACTAATGAAAAGAAGCTTTCAGCACATGCAAATAGCTTCAACGATGATGATAGATGTATACAGTGTAGGCCTGTAAGTTTAGACAATATGTTTTAAGTAAGTGTCACCTCTGAAAATCATCATATAAGGAATGAGTGCAGTGGAAACTTCATAATCCATTTAATATATGGACATACTGTATAAAGGAATCAGAATAGAACCCCCTGGTCTGGTCTAGACATGGTACAGTCTAGTACTGGCTGATAAGAGTTACATTTTAGTACATATTAGTTCATACACACACAGTGTTATGCCAGTCCACACAGTGTTAAGCAAAGTGCAATGCAGATTTCTATATAGTTGTTAAGTAGTTTGTCAAAATCCATCCTTCCTCCATCTTCTATACCGCTTATCATACAAGGTCGCAGGGAACCTGGAGCCCATCCCAGGGAGCATCGGGCACAAGGTGGGGCACACCACGGACAGAGTGCCAATCTATCACAGGACACACTCACATACACATTCACACACGCATTCATACACTAACGACACTTTGGACATGCCAATTAGCTTACCATGCATGTCTTTGGACTGGGGGAGGAAATTAGAGTACCCGGAGAAAACGGGGTGACTCTGCACACATAGGGCAGCAGCAGGAATCAAACCCCCAACACTGGAGGTGTAAGGACGAATATGCTAACAACTAAGTCACTGTGCGCCCTGTGTCAAAATCATGCATAACAAAGATAATATACAATAAACACAATTATATAAGTACAGTATGAACTATGAAACAATATTTTAGTTTATGCCTTAGCTAGTTTGGTGTTGGGGTTTAACATAGATTTTGTTTTAATTAAATTATCTACAAGGTCCCTGTGTCTTAAATGCCACAGTATATATATATATTTAAAGATTTAAGATTTAAAACTGGAATTTATATATATATTTATATTATATAAAGCAGCTTTACAGAAATAAAAAACAGGTATAAACAGTCAGAAACATCTAAAGAGAGACAAACAGGAACAGATAAACAGAGACAAACAATTAACAGCAACAAGATAAATTCAAACTATTGTTGTATATATATATATATATTCTTAAAAACTGAAATACACTGTCAGATCTTAGATTCAGTTCAGCAAAAATCAGTCAAATACTGAGAGTAAATATTGAGAGTGACAATATCACAGACCTAGATATCCATTTGTCAAAAAAAAAAAACATGGGTAGACTTATTGTATCATGCTTCAACTCCTTCTGCTTCTTTGAGCTTTATAGGTACTTCATACATTCATTCCAACAGAAACCTGTTACACCTGTTTTGCTCTCTCTCTCTCTCTTTCTCTCTCTCTCTCTCTCACTCTCCCACCCCCTCTCCCTTATGCATATACACATACAGAATCCGTATTTTAGCTTGCCATGACTAGCTAGGAAGACTGCAGAGTCAGAGTTGATATTTGACTAAAGAAAGGACGACCGAGGCTGCTGTTGGTGTTTGTGTATCTTGTGCTATTGGTACTAGCAATTTGACAACACACAGAGTTCTGGCAGTTCCAGAGTCTACTGACACTAAACTGTAGGACTAATCAAAACATTCGGTGCAATGGGTAAGTCTCTGCATGTTTATGGGTGGAAATTTTTAAAAGCAGGTTCTCCTTTTGTTTGGATAGAGTGGTACAGTTTTTTTTTCTATAGTCAGTTCATGGACATTGGTAAAGTATGTAAGACAGCTAAGGAACAGATTTTGTGGTCACTTTCAGACTGTTACACAGGTTGTAGATATTAAAATTGATGGAAGATGAAGAGTTCTACTTTTTTTTAGTATATGTCAATATTATTAGAACAGAACTGATCAATTATGGGTTATCATATGGAAATAAAAGCAATGATATTATGGAAATGTAATGAAAATGAACCAATATAATGAAAAACTGTTTCTGTGTTCAAGTAAGGTTGTGTTGAGGTAATTTAGGTAATTACACTTAGTTGGACCATTTTCAATTTTCCTTGTTTGTCAGTTTTGTAAAAAAATTTTTTTTATAATAATCATCAAGCTATAAATAATAGCCAATGAAATAATAATGTTTACATACAGCAGCTAGCAACAGCCATGGATATAACATAAACATTTGAAATGAAAGCATTTCTCTATGAAGTACACATACAGTGATTTGGAGTTTCATAATATTATGGTACCAGGACTCTCGCTGTTCATGTAAATCTATTTAAGTCCTAAATATTCGCACTGTCACAATACCCCAAACTATCTTTAATTTAAAAAGCCCTTAGTTTTAGATTTATTTGTGAGTAGATTACCTCGAAGAGAAACTTATAAAAGTATGTTGAGATTGTTGACTTCAAAAACTTCTTCTCGAATTTCACCTCTCCAAGTGACTCTATAAGAGTGGATATTCCCCTATAATGACTTCAATTATTAAAATGACAGCAGATAAGACACTTGATATATTGTTAAGTGCATATAAAAACTGCCTGTAAAGTCTTTTCAGTAAGGACTACAACTAGTGCAGTCAACTCCTGAGTGAAACTCAGATTTACATGCCACATACCTTCTGGCCTGTTGAAACACATTGCTGTGCAAGCTAAACCAGCTTGTGACAGACAGTTTTGATTTGGCAGAAGGCATACTAGGATAACATTATCTAATACACCGGTGAACAGGCTACAACTGAAAACAACCTTTAATATATTGGCTGAGGGATTAACTAGGCAGCAAAAAAAAAAAAAGAAAGAAGGAAAAAGAATGCATTGTTTTTAACACAGCATCAATTATGGCCAAGGCATCAGCACTGAACAAGACAGCAAAATGAGCTTTAGCAACATGCAAAGTTGATATTGACACCATTGATATACTGATTGTAAAATCTCTATGCCCTATGTCTATGTCAGAGGTGCTTGTTCTATTAGACTTTGAGGGAACGATGGGGGATGAGATAACAGTGCATGCAGGCGATGTGGTGAAGAATGTGACAGTGTCCAGTGAGGAGGGCTGGCTGGAAGGAGAGCTCCGGGGAAAGAGAGGCATCTTCCCTGCTAACTTTGTCAAGGTCTGATCTGTTTTCTTTTGTTTCCTTGAAATTTTAAAGTCACAGACTCTTTTTTAATCATTCCTTACTAACTTTGAATTTCTGCCAATAAAGGAGGTGCCTATTTCCTTGAAAGGAGACAGTAAGAGGGAGCCACGAAGCATGAGAAAATGTATGTACTTCTTACAGTACCATTTCCTGTATAGCCACAAGAAAATACTTAAGCATGAAGTAGGTCAAAACTGTATGCCATGACAGCATGATAAACATGTTTCCAACCAAGGTTTCACTTTGACCACATCCTATGACAACAGCAAAATAAATGTTATTTATAAGTGCATAAACTGTTATAAATAAAATATTCAAATTTGAGATGTTTGAGTTTTCTATTTGCTTGACAGAATGCTATGGTTTCTCTAGCAGGTTATAACTTCTCTGGTTATTTATCATTCCAGCAAAGATGATGAAGGAGCAGTGCAGGAAATGTGAAGTGACTTATGCCTATGCACCACAGCACCAAGATGAGCTCGAGCTAGTTTTTGGAGAGACTATAGAGATCATCAAAGAGGTAGTGTCTAACATGCTTCTCACATAGATCATATATAGAAATGTAAACCAGTCTATCTCAGGGCACCATGCATGCGCACACACACGCGCACACACACACACACACACACACACGGACGAAGACCGAAGTTTCCATTTTCGCCTCCATTATGGAGAACACAAACTGGGGCTCTACTTGCGCGTGAATTGTATTATGGTGAGGAAGACTTGAGCAGCATCGGCCTCACTCTCACTTCCCGGTGACCACCATGATCCATTGGCAAGACTGAGTCAAGACGACTGAAGATGGCCCCCGGGCACAGTCACACACACACATGCACACACACCCACACACACCTAGCGGCAATGTACCATACAACTACCACTACCACCTAACACTGTTCTTTTATGGTGGGAGGAAACTGGGGAACCTAAAGGAAACCCACTGTGAGAGCATGTGAGTCTACACAGTAACAGTAGTGCCAATTTTAAACACTAAAATTTAGCACTGTTTGCATGTGTAGATGTTGAGATTTGCTGGTATAGTTGAGTAATATTACATAAAGATTAAGTAATGAGTAATATTACATGAATATTTTCATGTTTTTTAATGGCTTTCCTGATTTGCTTGTGAATCTGCTCACAGATTGAAGATGGATGGTGGATGGGGAAAAAAGGTGGAAAAATAGGAGTGTTTCCATCAAACTTTGTGAAAGAAATTTTTGTCTGTCCAAAAGGTATGGTTATAGCTTTTGACATTATATGCAATATGTCATATTTTGTTGTAAAATTCAATTAAATTAATAAAGAAATGTAAGAATCTGCAGGGTGCATGGTGGCTTAGTGGTTAGCATGTTCGCCTTGGACCTCCAAGGTTGAGGGTTTGATTCCCACTGCTGCCCTGTGTGTGCATGTTCTCCCCGTGCTGTGGGGGTTTTCTAAGGGTACTTCAGTTTACTCCCCCAGTACAAAGACATGAATGGTAGGCTGATTGGCATGTCTGTTGTGTGTGATTGTGCCCTGCGATGGATTGGAACCCAGTCCAGGGTCTCCCCCACCTTGTTCCCAATGCTCCAGGTTCCTCCAGTAGGATAAGCAGTATAGAAAATAGATTTATATAAGAAGTTGCTACATCCATGCTACGCCCTGCGATGGATTGGAACCCAGTCCAGGGTCTCCCCCACCTTGTTCCCAATGCTCCAGGTTCCTCCAGTAGGATAAGCAGTATAGAAAATAGATTTATATAAGAAGTTGCTACAGTGTGTCTCCCTAAACCATTTTTTATGATATGCAGATGTGAAAAGCAGAGCTAAACTCTCTGAGGCCATCTTCACTAAAGAGGTACAGCACAGCACATTGTAGCATTACCCAGAAGAAACTGTGGCACTGAAACAAACTTAATTGATCTGTCTGTTTCTTTACAGGGAGGACAACAGCAGAGAGCAAGTATACGTAAAAAGACAAACGGTAAGTTGATCAGGTACATACACAAAATGCCAGTGAATTTGTAAGATTTTATATAACTCTGTGGGGCCTGTTCTTATGACTTAAAGTAATGTAAAATGTAGCTGTATTGTAATGTGAGCATAGGTGTATTCAGAAAACTGTTGGGTGGTGCCTCCTGGGATTTCCCAAAAGTACTGCATACCATTGGGGTGTTAACTTGAACCATCACACCATCAAATTTAGAACTCAGTTGTTATGAACCAGTGCTTCTGCATGATGTTGAATCTCTACCTGTTCCAAATGCATGTGCTGAATTATGTCTGCCATGCTTGTAATGACTAACAAGCCATACATTTATACCAATTGGTTTGGTGTACCATAACAATGTTGACCAGCTTGAAACACTAGATATTCCTGTTTTTGTTGTCTGACAGTAAAAGAATGTTGCCAAGTCATGTTCGACTACACAGCCATTACTGAGGATGAACTAGATCTAAAGAAGGGGGACCTTGTCACCATCATCAACAAGGTCTGACATCTGAGATAGATTTAATTGATTGCATTACTGTCTTGGCCTGTGTGTCAGATGTTTAATTGTCACATTGCTGCCTGCCTCACTTCCTTGTTTCTATGACTGGAAGGAAACATTGACTGCTAGTAATTGTAAAAATTTCATGTTGTGCTGGTGCAACTTATGTAATAGTTTATCAAAGCAGTCAACATTAAATTTACATTCTTTTATTACCCAATGTACTCCATCATTATTGAAAATAGACTATTTCTTCAATCATTTGTGCTTCCTTATTTCCAGAGACAGTATGTGTGTCTGGGTTTTACTTTTTACTCTCTTCTATGCTGAAGGTCAGCGATGATGAGGGATGGTGGGAAGGTGAACTAAATGGTCGAAGGGGTTTCTTCCCCGACAACTTCGTCATGATAATCCCAATGGAAGCTCTCCAAGTGAGTGGGTGGAGAAGTTCTCATGCTAGCCCTGTGTCCAAGAATGGGAGTGTATCAACATTGTTTATATATTTTTACCAAAGTCTGTAGATTAGTTCAGTGTGTAGATTAATTCATTTATACATTACATTTAAAAGCAAGTAAAAGATAGCATGCCACTTGTTTGTGTTCCCACTGTTAACTTTACTGTGGACTTTCTGTGATTGCATTTTTTCCTGTTATTTTAAACTTGTTAAATGGGAATGAATCAGAGACATCTGTTATAAGGAAAGCGGAAGTCAGTAACAAAATGTTTCCACTATGGAAAGAGCATTAAACCAAAATAGTCTCTAAATCCAATTTGTTGTATTTCTCTTGTCAGGAAAAAAGCCAACCACCACTGAGACGTGTCACAGAAAAGCATCCAGGTAAGACAATTGCCACACTTCTAAATAGCTGATCTGGGATTTTTTTTTTCTGGAATTATATGTTTTCATGTAGAAGTGATCTTAATGTTGAATACTGTCATGTTGACCTGTGTGTCAAGAAACAAATTTACTTCTCATAAGGTTTGATGTCATCTTATGGCATATAGAGTACTGTATATATTTAATTGTCTAAGACATGTTTAAGGTGAGGCAAAACTATTGTAAATAACATGCTTAGAACAGATGCCAGTGTACTTTAGAAATGTCTTTGTATGTGGTTAGTGCTTTATTCAGTACTTAGTTTGTGAAAATTTTAATCAGTGTTAATTTATCATGTTATATATATGTTATTTAATAACTCAAACATGCCTCACAATCACTCACTCATTTGTTGCTGACTTGTGGATCTAGTAACCATGTAAGCTTTATTTATAGGACCCCCCGTTTATACAGTAAATATAAGCCCAGTGAAATGTTTTTTTTTTATTGAAATTTAAAAATTATTAATTTCCATGTAATTTATGAATCAACAATGTTAAGTATGTATATATATATATATATTTTTATTTTATTTTATTATTATTTTTTTTTTTATAGATGCCTATTTGCGCACTCTAATGCTATTTACAACAACACCTTCAACATAAAAATCAGTTCTGGACTTTTTAAGACACAATTCAATATTTAGTACAACCTAATATTTCTTAAGACACCTGACAAACTGGTTTAAACTCTCAGCTTGTCAAAAAAAGGATGTGAAATGCTCAGTGATAGCTGACACAACATGTACAGGAAGTGGGTTTTGTTAAACGTCGATAAGCTTACTAAAATTGCTAAGAACACCTGTGATTCTGAAGTTGTTTTTCTACTCATTACATTTGAAAAAGCCGGACATCAAAAATCTCATGCATTATGAACAATATGTCTACATTAACCTATATTGCAAAATCCTCAAAATATTCCCTATTATTATTATTTCTGGAAAATGCAGCTGTAAATAAACCAGCATTTCCTGCATTCTGAAAAAATCTGAACATCTTTTCTGAAGTAGCTCACAGAGAATCGCTTCACTCACAACAGTTTGACAGGAAGCTTGTCTTAGGTCATATTATCTGAGTATAGGGGAGAAGAAGGAAGCATTTACAGACATCTCTATGTTTAGAAAGACAGGACAGATGCTGGAACCAAGACTTTGCTTTCTTTTAGAGGGTATGTACAGATTGACTTACTGTATAGAATTTCTCTAATTTTATTTCAGTGCCTAGCTCTTACTGTTTTAATATAACTTGGATAAGACTTCACAACACACAGAAGTGGACAGGATTGTGCACTGTACTTCTAAATGGTATTAAAGGTTTGATATTGTATGGATAAATCTAACTAACTAGCTTTAAGTAGAAAACTGATGGTGTAAAGTACTTATATGACATTATAACACTATTTTCTGCATTTAACCTGAATTTATGTCTGAGTTAAGAACAGACTTTCAGTAAACTGACTTTACTTTTTGTCTAGCAAATACACACACACACACACACACACACACACACACACACACACACACACACACACACACACACACACACACACACACACACACATTAAAGGTATAGGCAAACATTAAAGGTATAGGCAAACATAGGCAGCCTGAGTAAACACACAATACAGTTATTATTATTATTATTATTATTATTATTATTATTATTATTATTATTGTTATTATTTTTAAGCAAAACAAAGTTATCCAAGACCTATCACCCATGTGAAGAAGTAATTTCCCCCTTAAACTTAAAATCTGGTTGTGCCACACCTAGCAACAATAACTGCGACCAAACGCTTCAGATAATTGGAGATCAGTCTTTCACAGCGCCGTGGTGGAATTCTGGCCCACTCTTCTTTGAAGAACTGCTTTAGTTCAGCCACACTGGAGGGTTTTCGAGCATGAATTGCCTGTTTGAGGATCAAGGTGTGTTTTGGCAAAATTCAAATGAGCCTTAATGTTCTTCTGTGTTAGCAATGGTTATCACCTCACCACTTTTCCCAGTGTCTTTTTGATAGTGGAGACATGAACAGTGACCTTTATTGATGAAAGAGAGGCCTGTAGTTCCTTTGATATTGTCCTTGGCTCTTTTGTAACTTGCTGGATGACTTGTTGCTGTGCTCTTGGAGGAATTTTGGAAGGATGGCCACTTCTGGGAAGGTTCACTACTGTGCAGAGTTTTACCATATGGAGATAATGGCTCTCGCTGTGGTCCATTGGAGTCCCAGAGCCTTTGAAATAGCTTTGTAACCTTTATCAGACTGATGTATTTATATCACCTTATTCCTCATAATTTCTGGAATTTCTTTCAATTTTGGCATAGTGTGTTATTGGTTAAGACCTTTAAACCAACTTCACGCTGTTGAAAAAGTTCTATTTAAGTATTGATTTGATTGAACGGGATTTACAGTAATCAGGTCTGGTTGTTTCTAGTCCAGCTGAACAACATTATGAATGCAGTTTCATATATTTGGGGAATTAGCAACTACAGGGCAAATACATTTTCATCCTGGCCATGTTGGAATTGTATAACTTTTTTGCTTAAATAAATAACATCATCATTTAAAAATGGTATTTTGTGTTTACTCAAATTGCCTTTGTTTTATCTTAGATTTAGTTTTATTTTTGAAACCATTTAGCAAAAAAGTTTTTTAGTACACACTTTGTTATAGATGTTTTATTTTAAGAATTCTACATTATTCATTGTAAAAAAAAATTTAGATTCCCAAACATTAGTTTTCTAACACTAAATTAAATGTTATAGAAAAAATGTTTGTCATTAAAGAAAGCAGCATATTATGTAAGAGAACACTTTTCAGACAAAAACAAAATGAAGGCTGCTGGGATTTGCTGCAAAAATAAGAAGCAAGTGTGACATTCAAAGTCTGCAGAAAAACTCTGTCTGGTTCTGCAAGATGTTCAATAAAACTTACCAACTAATTTTCTTATAAAACTGCACAAACTGTACTGGAGACTAATATTTTAATCAAAATGTATTTTTTTTAAACCAAATAATTGAAAGCATCTTTTCTCTACAGCATTTGTTTGC